TCTTCATCCCCAATAGACACATTACCACAGAAAAGGGTGTAAACATTTTTCTTGAAAGAAGAGCTTCAATAATAATACCAATGAGGCTTTGTGAATAATTTCTTGAAATAGCCTAGTCATATAGTAATTGGAATTGAAGAAGGTTATTAAAAGGTACTTGAATTAATTCAGTGAAATAACACATGACACAGAGCAGGCTTCCACCCAAATTCAAATCCAACTCAGACCCAAACTAATCAACTTAAAACAAAAAGAGGACAATTTTCAATCCTTTTTTTGGTTGGTTTGTTTTGTGTGATAAAGCCCAATGCATAAAGGAACCCGCGTCTATAAAACCATTCACATTTCTTGGAAAGTCTATTCTTATATGTACAACAACATAACAATTAACATAAATAGGTGACTTCTTAAATTACAAATCAAATGGCTAGCAGTATTTAATTACATAGATCAACTAAAGAGAGGAAGTTTGTACAAATTTACACATTTATATACAGGGCTCAGCCCATCTTTTATTAATGTCACAAGTAAATACGTCGCAAGTCTGAGGGTGATGTGATCATGTTGCATTGCGGACAAAGCTTCTTTGCACCCTGCAATCAAAAGTAAAACAACACAGGTTTTAGTTGATTATTTAATTCTTAGAGTATACAAAGTAAGACCCTGACCAAATTTCTAGGAATAAAATCTTACCAAGGTGTGCAACCAGCACTGCTCACAATGAACATGCCAACAGCATATTGATATGGCAGGTTTCTTGTATCGTTCCTGTAAAATATTGAGTGTAATGAGAGGGTGTCATTTTGATGAGACTCATTTCTTATACCATCGTATACAGAGGGAAAGCTCACCATACAAATGAGGCACTTGAGTTTGTCTACGGTCGCTGCCTTGGACTCAAGCTCCAACTCTCGTATCCTTCTCTTGAGCGCTTCTAAAGTGGGGTTGGACGGGGCGCCCTCCGGACCGCCCTCGGCGGGAGGCGTCATGCTGGGCTGGTCGTCGGCGTCCTTGTCCTTGGCCTCGTCGCCGTCCCCGGTCCCGGGACCGTCCGCGCTCCCGGACGCCGTCGACGCCGCCCTTGGCGTCGCCCGGCCCTGGCCGTCGGGGCTGAGCACCGCCTCCCTCAGGGCGACTCGCTCCGAGTCCTCGACGCTGGGCGGCACCACGTCCGCCTCCGAGTACTGCGGCGGGCCGTACGTCGCCGTCTCGTCGCCGTCCACCACAAGCTCGCCGTCCTCGTCCTCCGCGCCGCCTCGGCTCGCCGTCACCATGCCGGCCCCTGAACCAACAGCGAGGGTAGGTCAGTCTCTGGGAGGTATACTCCACGCGAGCCGCGGTTATGGTTCCCACCGGCTCGGTGTATTCCCGCCCCAACTCCGCGCTGGCGCACTGGCGGCGCTACCCTGAGCCTGCGCAGCCAGCAGCGCTACCCCGCGCTACGCACCTGCATAGCCGCCCTGCAGCAAGGTGGACGCTCGTATCCGCTTCTGGCCGGCCCACTCGTACTCCTCGAAGGCCTCTCCGTCCCCCTCCACGTCCACGTTCTCGTCCTCCTCCGCCGCGCCGCCATTCTGCAAAACCGACGCCAAATTCAGAGAAACGGACGAAGCATGTACACTTTTGCACCGCTACGAAAAGAAAAAGTAGAGATGCGACAACTACGGTCTGCAGGGAATTACATTCTCCACGCTTTGGAGTGTCCGTACTGTTTGAGGGAGGCACAGGGCCAGAGTGAGTGGAAGAGACAAAAGGGGGCGGGATCATCTCATCGTAAAACTCCGCAGCGCATGCTGCAGAAGTCCACCAAAAATAGCCCACCTCTCTCTCTCATTCTCACACTAAAGTACGCGCGTACCTTTCGCAGGCAGTGCTCCACGTGCAGGTTGAGCTCCTCGACGGATCCCTGGAAACGCTCGTTGCAGACGGGGCAGGTCGCCTCGTCCGCCTTCCGCTTCCGGTTCTTGATCCGAAGGCGACTCGTCCGGTTAGCTTTGATCCGTTGGTAAGTCTGCGGGAAATAAATCAAATTTTAACAATGAGAAAGGTCAGGAAAAATGAAGAAAAATCATAGTAAATTAAGAATCAGAAAAATTTGAGGACAAAAATCAGAAAAACTGCGAAAAACTAATTGTAGCCATCTCGACGTCGCTGCGCTCACCTCCCAGCGGCCCTCGGCCGTGCCGTCCGCCGTGGAGCCGATGTTGCCCGGGCGCGCGGGCGCCGCGGCGGGGCCGTGCGGGGGCCCGTGGTGCTGGCGCCGCTGCCGCGCGGCGGGCGACATCTTGAACAGGCGGTCCAGCTCCTGCAGGAAGTGCGACTCGAGCTCGCCGCCGCGCACCGTCACGCCGCACACCGGGCAGCACGTGGGGTCCTGGACCAGCTTCTTGCGTCCTGCGGGCACAGCGGGCGAGCGGGGTCAGAAACAAAAGCGACGCCGATGGAACCTCATTGAAAACAAAGAATTAGTAGTCAAATTTTTAGCTAAGTAGTCAATTTTTTAGCTAAGTAGTCACATTTTTAGCTAAATAGTTAAATTTTGAGCAACATAGCTTAAGTGTTAGCTGCATAGCAACTAAATCGTCAATTATCGCGTATTCATTTTTCCGTGCGAGTCTCTCTTACTGCGAACGGTGCAGAAATTATGTCGCTCTACTTTGGGGCGATGCAGGGACTGCACGTCACTGAATTTTAGACGAAAAATAAAATGTAATCTCCTCTCCTCTATACGACGACAGTGCCAGTGCGCCACATTTTGTTGGTGCGTGTGCGAAACATGCAACATCAGAGCCCCAACTGTTCAGCCAGCACTTTCATTCTATAAGAATAAAACACACACACACACACTCACACACACACCTCAACAGCGGCGGGGAGGCAAATGTATACCATTCCTGTCGTCTGTGTTATTTCGCCTTATTGTTTTGTCGAGGCGGCGGCGGCAATGGAGACATTACAGTGAGGAATGACCACCAACCCGCCCGGCGCACACGCGGCAACCAGTGCACTTGAGTGCGCACGGGGCGCGGCGGGGCGTTTGTGCTCTGGATACCGCATACACTTGGCGGTGGGCGTGACTGACGCAGGCAACATCCGAGGGACGGTCGGCCGCCACAACGACGGGCATAACGAACGTCTCATGAGCTGCTGTTCTGTTTCAGACGTGAAGGCGTACTGGATGGGCAGGAGGCAGCCCCCTGCTCCAACTTGGACAGTATAAGTGCCATATCGACTACAAGTAGTTCCTGAGGACTGAAGTACTTCGGAAGCACCCACCGTATGTCTTAAGACATGACTCAATTGAGTCTAAGTTAAATTGTAGCAAAGTTAATTTGTGGCCAAGCAAAGTTAGGGCAAAGTGAAGTTGGGGCAAAGCCAAATTGGGGCAATGTCAAGTTGGGGCAACGTTGAGGGATGGCAAAGTTAAAGTTGTGGCAAGTTAGGGATCGTCCAGAAAGTACGACCGTTTTTCTCAGATTCATTCGGCAAAATACGGGAGCTCCGCGCCTGCGAGGCACAGGGTAGGCCACCCCGCACTACACGCCTGCCCTATAGGCTGGATGTTGCCTACTGATCAGGCGCTATGGAACCTTGCATAGGCTGACCTTGGCTGGCATGTTCGTAACGGCGATTGACGGACGTACCTTCTGGATGATCCCTTATGGCATTTGGCATTGACAATGGGAAATCAAGTTACACCGGGTGAGTAATATCACGCGCGAAAAGGAGTGTGTTCACTCGTTCAAGTGCTTATTCGTTGGAGTTTGTTGTACATGATAACTGGTGCGACTGTCATCAGTTTAGCAAAACACTTTGCTAAATCCCCACAAACGCCATTCTTGTATGAGCGACCGTGTTTTAGTCCCCCAATTTGCAGGGGACAAGCAAGCGATGCCAGTGCTGGCCGGTCCGTCAGATTGGCGGGCGCCAATAACGCGCGCCCGTCACGTTGGCGTTATTGTGTTTCGTCACGCCAATAACGCGCGCCCGTCACGTTGGCGTTATTGTGTTTCGTCACGC